TACTAACAGGATAAGAGTCAAAGAGTGAGAAATAAGTTGTAAAAACACCACCCCAACCCTCCTTCCTTCTCAACTCTCCCTCGTCCCCCCCACAGCAGTGCAGGGGGGATGGGGAAGTGGGGGGTTTGCAGTCAGTTGTTGTTTCCCATGGGGTGCAGTCAGGTCTCTCACCCTGATGGTCCTCCATGGTCTACAGGGGGACAACCTGTGTCTCCATGGTCTTACCACAGGCTACGGGGTTGGGGCACAGCTCTGAGTTCTTCCCCTGCTTCCATGGGGTCCCTCCCACAGAAGACAGTCCTTGATGGACCACCCTTTGGGCAGGAGTTCTTCCCAGTCTGCTGTCCCGTGGGTCACTCCTCCATGGGGTGCAGTCCTTCCTGGATAAGGTGGACCAACGTGGGTCCCCCACAGGGCCAGGAGTCCCACCTGGGAAAAACTTGCTCCAGTGTGGTTTTTCCTCTCCATGGGTCACAGGTCTCCAGCAGGACCCTGCTCCATCCTGGGCCTCCCACAGGGTAATAGCCTCCTTTATGCATCCACCTGCTCCAGCATGGGCTCCTCCATGGACTGCAAGGGGGTCTCTGCACCCCAATAGTCCTTCATGGGCTGCAGCAGCCTTAGCCCTGCTCTTAGTCCTTCCCCTGCTCCCTGGGGGAGGGGAAGGGGCTCTGTCCCCCTCCTCCTGCACTGACCTTGGTGTCTGTGTTGTTATCCCATGTTCTCACTCTGCTATTCCTGGGCTGGAATTTTCTTCTGCACAACACTCCTCTGTCCTTAAGTATGTTATCATAGAGGTGTTACATGCTTGCTCATTTGCTCGACCCTGGCCAGCAGCAGGAAGTCTGTCCTGGAGCCAGCTATCGTTGGTTCCATAGGAGCAGGGGAAGCTTCTGGCAGCTTCTAACAGAAGTCACCCTTGTAGCCCCCCACGCTACCAAAACCCAGCCACAGAAACCCACGGCACTCCTTCAGTAGCATTCATGATACCAGGCAAATAATAACAGTAAAAGTTATACTTCTGATTTTCTGCTTTTTATTACAAGTAATTAATTTCAACTAAGCAATAGAGGTAAGTTATTCAGGAGCTAAAACCCAAAAGACATAGTACCTCTACCAAATTATTGTTGATCACTTAATGTGTTTGTGGGCTATGCAGAATACAAATGTATTACCCTGACTGACAGGAAGAATGAGCTGCAAGGATTTTCTGATTAGGAATTTCCAAGTGTGGTGCATGAGCGTCTCATTTTTCTTTTGGCGTTTCCTAATTCATCATCATCACCATAATTACATTTTCACGCCAATAAAACTGTCAGTAAAAGAACCTTCATGGAAAAAATGCCCTGTTTTTAGCCTGGGCTTAATTTAAAATACTAAACCCTTTAAGAATAATAAAAAGAACATTGTACTGACTTGCACAGTTCTGCTCTCATTTAAGACTGGTCCTCAGTCTGGTATTCAACTTAACTGTAACTGCTGGTGATTGGGCAGGTACATGCTACCAGGCAACAGGTATGGTAGAAACTGTGATGGGTTATCTAATGTCCAGTTTAGATGTGGCCCTAAAAGCTGCCTTGGATGAACTTTCCACCCCTTTTGTCATGCATAAATTATAGTCTGCCTTGCGTTCTGGTTTCACTGCAGAGTGTAGGATTTACCTTGGACCACTGTGGGAAGGATGATTCAAAGGGCTCAACATTCAGAGGTGGAAGGGCCAGTTCAGAACAAATTTAGAATGGGCTATTTTATTATAGGCAGGTGAAGACAAACACAGATTAAGTTACCATGATCCCTCAGGCCTGAGTTCTGACATCTTGCAGCTTAGAGATTTTTTTATTTTTATTTTTTTTTAAATATGATTGAATGGTTAAAACTGAAGACTGTGTCATGGAATCTAATGCCTTGGACGTATATTTGATGTGTTACTCATATAAGACTTGTCAATCTGTGTTAGAAGTGGAAGGAAGTGTGGAAGGTGGTGTTGAAGGTGGGAGAGAGAAAAGAATTGGCCCCAGTTCTTTCATAGTATGTCAGAGCCTGCCCCCTCTGTTTCACAATTTTGTCCTAATATTTCCTGCAGTTGTTACTGCCAGTTCAGCCCATGTAATTGGGTGGATGGTAGCTTGTATTTGATTTTTCTTTTAAGCAACACTTGCCTAACACTAGCTCTGTGAGCACTGTCATCAGCCCTACTGTGAGAGCTAGACTAATACCAATAGCTGTGGGAAAGTTTTGAGAAAATAAGGAGTGGAAGCAAAAAAATACTACAAGTAATAGTTTGAGAAAACACAGGGACTGGAAAAATCTAGGGTGAGATGAAAGAAGCATAAAAAAACCCAAACTCTTAGGTTTCCCACTTCCATTGGCACCTATGGAACAGAGTGACTGAAATAGTTTTGTTCTAAAGGAGTATAGAGTTGTTTTAGGATAGAAAAGATCTGTTTGACAAGAAATGGAAGCAAAAAAGAGGAAAAAATTTCTGTCAGATACATGTTTTGTTTTTATTCCTGGAGATTTGGGACTAGCTTTATAATTCTCCAGTGATTGCTTTGCAAGCTTCTTGGAAGGAAACAAAGTAGTTGAAAGCTGAATCATAGACTGTTTTGAAAGAGAGAGGGAGCTTAACTTTTATGCAGAGAAATATGGAAGCCAAAATGATTTTGTTAGAGAGGGAAGATGGAACTGAAAACTAGCATTTTAGGCTGGTTAAGGAAAGCAGTGCTGAGAGCTGGAGGGAGAGGTGCACACTAGCAAGAACATGACATGACTACCAAGTTGGACTAAATATTTGGAGTAAGTAGTTTCTGTGTGTTTTCTTGTATTACAAAACTGCATTTAATTTTTTTTCCAGGTAACACAACTCATGTGGCTTGGCAAGATTTTAAAAAAGTCTACAGTTTAAGCATTTCATAAATATACATGTTTCTGAAGTAGGTATTTCCAGCGAACATACAAAGTATAAATGTGGATTTAGGACTCTAAGACTTGAATATCTTCCTTTGTGAATTTTACAGTCTACCGTAGATTCATGAATTCCCTCTTTTTTCTCATTGTCCTTTGTGAATTACAAAGTCACTTTGCTGTGGTTCTTAACTGCTTTGTAGTTCACGAAAATAATTGGTAAAGGCAGACGTTTTTCCTAGAACTCTGGAGCTGAGTAGGACTCTGTAAGCTTTGCTTACCTGTGGGAGATAGGTCAGTGTTTATTATCAAATAAGAGGTACACATTTTGACACCAGATAAACAGAAGTTCCTAGTCTTCTGTTACAGCTGTGTGTTTTCAATAGCTACTGCAGAGTGAGCTGTTAAGAGTAGCTGAAGATAAGATCAAAAGTCATCAGTTCAAAGTTCAGAAAAAATCGTTAATTTCAAGGACAGAAACAGCTGAATTTGTTAGCCACAGCTTTATGCCAGAAGCACTTTACTTGTCCTGACAATCTTGCATCATAAGTGAAGTAGATAAGGCCAATTACCGAGTGCCACTTTTCCTCTCTTGAGTCCATATAGTAGTTTGGCACAGCTGCCCACTGAAAATATAAACTTATTTTAGCATACATCTTAATTAAACAAAATGACCAGGTCTTTTCTTGTGATTTTTGTGTTGGGCAGATAATGAAATGGGTTTTGTAAACGCTTAAGTGTTTGAATTGAAGCAACTATTCAGTACTGAACGAATTTTTCACTAGAATTATAGAAAACAGTTTTTGCATCATTTTGCGTGGATTCTACTTAGCTTTGGAATATGAGAAGAATTTTTGAATGAGAGTTTGAATGAGTTCAGCCAATTTTCAAGGGCAGTCAGACTTCTTAAGAAGTTACAGATAAAACCTCGTGAAGTTCCCTCTGCCTTTTTCCTGTGTTTCACACAGACTGAAGCTTCTGGTGTCTCTACTATGTTAAAAGTGTGCATAATCTCCCATGTCAGTGTTTTCCCCTTTTCTGCATATGCTTCTAGAAAAACAGATGAAGAACTTTTAATTTTTAGACTTTTTAGTCCCTGTGACTTTGGAAAATGTGGTTGAAGGGAACCTGGGTTTAGAAGTAAATAATAGCCTATTGTTTGTGTCAATAGACCTAGCTCTGAACAGTGTGTTGCTGTTATGTGTAAGTCTTAAGTGATGATACTGAATGCATTTGAGGTATTACAGACAGAAATTTAAAATTTTTCCTTGTTTTGCAGTAGTCTGTCAGAATTGTATGGCTTTTTTTTCATCTAAAAGTGTAAATTTATAATTAGAGGAAAACATGGAAAGAATCATATAGAAAATGGAACAATATGTATATAATCTTAGGTAGGATAAACTTTTTTTATATAGCATGAATGTTTTTTACTAGTTGAAAAATCTGTGTGCATATGGTTCTTGACAGAAGAAATTTTTATTATGTAGGTAAAATGTTTCCTTTTCAATTTCATGTAAATTCTTAGTGCTAGCAGACAAGTTACTTCATTATTTATGTTATTTTTTAAGTGTTGTCTTAGGTATTGTAGCATATATTTCTAAATGTTACTTGGAAAAGCAAGTTTTAAAGCTTCCTCTGATGAATTATGAATGCAAAAGGAAGTAGTAATCTTCCCAAATTTCCTAAGCAATTCTCATAACTAGATGCAGTTACGAGAGGAGAAGGTGAGCTTGGCTTTTCACAGCAACTTCATATGTGTTTGTTTAAACAAGCAGTGCTGTCATTTCTACTAAGAATTTCTGAAAGAATATAATAATCTCTTGAGATTGATGAATTGCAATAGATTAAATAATGAGTCTTGTGCTCGATGGGGTACCGTTTAAATAGAGAAAATCTAATGGGAAGTAGCTACATTAGTAGCAGATGGATTTACTTCCTGAATCTTGATCTGAGTGGAAATCCTCGCTTACTTAAAATTTGTCTTACAGATTCTTAGCCTGATAAGAAAGTTGGATAAAGCAGTTTTTTTTTTTCTTGGCTTCAGTGCTGTGATGATGTGTTTTGTTTAAACTTGCTATTGTTTGATTTTTATCTAGGCTATTTTTATGATTCCTACAAATCCCCCTCCAACCTTCCGGAAGCCAGAACTCTGGTCCGATGAATTCACTGATTTTGTGAAGAAATGCTTAGTGAAAAATCCTGAACAAAGAGCTACAGCAACCCAGCTGCTACAGGTCAGTAGTTAAGTTACTGAGGAAAGGCAAGTTTTATAGCTTTTTTTTTCCCCTTCAATCCAGAACTGTTCTGAAAATTTCTAAGGGCAAATTTTATTTTAACTATTATCATACCTTATTTCTTTTCCACTTTGTGGTCTTTTCTCTGTCAGCTCCTGTATCTCTACCCCTGTTTTATTTCTTCTTTGCTGCTTCTAAAAATTCATTGCTCTTTATATAGTTTAGGGCTGGTCCTTGCTGTTAAAATTGGACCCTTGCTTTGTGGTTAGAGGCCCTCGATGGATCTCAGAATTTAGACAAATGTTAAGTAAAAGAATTGAGCCCAAGTTACCCTCCGTGTAGACCACCCATGGAGGACATTCAATCTTTCCTTCTGGTCATGTCAAATTAAGCAGACAGGTTGCTCTGTGTCTTAGAAGGGTCCAATGCAAATGGACAGTCTAATGAGTTTGGTTTTGGGCTGAGTTATACCAGGTGGGCACTTTTAAATGTGAGATGCAGTTGGCAGTGTGGACCTTTGGAGCCAAGGCACGGTATGCCAGGCTTTTTCTTGCTGCGAAGCTCTCATGCTGGATTTATTCTGTGTTGACCTAGCAATAGCAGCCTTGAAAATTTAAATTCCAGTGAACTCCACTACAAGGATGAACATAAAAATTTTTCAAAGTATTTTCCGGTAATAGGTCTATCAAATTCAAAAGTCATGTTATGAATATTTAATTCTTTGCACTGCAAAACAGCAAGAGGTAGACTACAGGTGAGTAAAAATGATAGGTTTCCGTGTGATGTATGAATCAGTACTTGAGACCTTCAAGATTTGAAGTTCATATAGTTAGCTTAATACCAGCATCTGGGCAGAAGAGATTTGCATTACTGTACAAGGAAGGAGGAACAAACAATAAAAAACTTCAGTGTGGAGTTTCTTTCCACATACCTACTGACTAGAAAACCAAATATTATGTTCATCACAAGTACATGTTGCCTTTTTCCCCAGCTGGAATTTGGAGCATGTGTGATGGAGCTGGAGGTGCTGTATCTGTGAGTGGGAATGAAAGTACTGCTTGTGGGGAAAAGGTTACAGAAGAAAAAGAGAGTTATTGAATTAATAAATCAAGGGAGAAGTTAGATAATAGGTATAGGATACAAAGCTTCATCAATTCTGTTCTTCATGGAACCATTTTTTGATATTTAATGACGTATTTCTGAGGTGCTTAGTTATGTTTTGCCTAAATTGTATTTGCATATAATGATGCAAAAATCAGATTTTTTTCTAACAGTGGGTGTTTATTACACAGAAAAATGAATGTAAATGATATCATGCAAATGTTGTCTTAAAGGAAGAAGTGATGTTTTAAATGGCTGTGAATTGAAAATGAATCTTCCTACTAAAAGTAAGGTTCCACATTTCAGCATCATAGATCAAGAAATATTTTATGACATAGAAAGTGTAGGTTTGTTTAAATGAGCAACCATAGTTGAACTGCTGAGAGTCACTAATTTATGCTCTGCGTTTGTTAAGATAAATTAAATTCTGTAACAGAATATCTGAAAAACTTCCTTTTCCTGTGTCAGATCATCACCATTCTATTTACTGTTTACTGCACATTTCTTTTGAGAAGTTATATCCTTAATTATAAAACATTTGTTAAATTATTGTATTTCCCGAGGTTTGCAGTATTTAAAAATAGTTAAAGTAAAAATTTAGTCATGAAATAGCTAAAATATGTTGGATGTTGTTTTGGTATAATTTTAATTATTGTGTAAAGTACGTTACTGTTTATCACTGAAGTCTGTGGTGTTGAGTAGTACTCACAACTACTGTAATCATATTACATATTTTAATGATTTTTTTTTTTTCTCTAGCATACATTTATTAAGAATGCTAAGCCAGTTTCAATTTTAAGGGACCTGATAACAGAAGCTATGGAGATAAAGGCAAAGCGACATGAGGAACAGCAGAGAGAACTAGAAGAGGAGGAAGAAAATTCGGTGTGTACCTGTTTTCCTGTAACTATTTGTACTTCACAGATAAGTTGCCGTTTCTCCTCTACTTCCTGTAGTTGTGTTCAAATACTTTTCTTTACCAGTTTTCTGTGTGGTTTTAAGCCTACAAATTCTGAGTATTCCACTCTTAATTATGAGTAATGCTTCTGCTGTGAGTAATGCCATATGAGCCAACTTTCAGCACTATTTCATGAGATGTCCTAGTAAAAAGTGTTTTCTAGGGAGTGAGAAAAGAAACCATATCAAACTTTCAACTGTTCAAGCTAACATTAAAAAAACCCAAAAACTCTTAAGGTTCCACTTTCACAGGTGGACTTCTAGGCAAGTAGTTTAGTTTTCAGTTCAGGGCACGTGGGTTTTTTTCTTTGTGTGTTCCTTTGGTTTTTTGGGGGTTGTTTGTGTTTGTTTTGGGCTTTTTGTTTTTTTTTTTTTTGTAAAGTCTAATGCACAGACTAGTTAGTCACAACACAGTAAGTAGCAATTGCAATGTGGTTTGAACCAAGTTGCGCCTGTAATGTGAAAATGGTGAGAGAACTTCATTCTTCAGGTGAGGTCGTTAGCATATGTTTGAGGAGAGAAGCAGGTCATGTGATAAGTAGATTGTGTTTAGAATGGTTTGGCAATTCTAAAGTCCGTGTTCCTGGCATTATTACTCTTCCTACATGGTTTATTTCAGGGCAGCCTTGTGCAATGCAGCAGTATGTGCTTCAAAGAGAAGTGTGTTACCACACATGCAATGAGAACCAAGGTATTCAGGAAATAGGACATGGAGAAGATGGAGACTGGAATGTTAGTAGAGAACTTACAGCTTTAAGCAAACAGAAAAGAGGAGTGCAGTAATGCAGTTTACCCTATAGCAAGTTGTAGAATCCTTGTTACAGAGTGGTATGTGATGATCTATAAGTAGAAATACTTTTCAAGCAGATTATGTGGAGTGTTTTGTATCTCCAGCAGTCTATGTGGTCTTCTGTTTGCTGCATGTTTCTCTCTTCTAGGAGTATGTTCTAAGAGTATTGATAGCTTGGGTTTATAAACGTGGTTTCCTCTGGATTGTACTTGCTTAGCCAGTAATAAAACAGGCAGGGATGGTTGGGATTATTTTTTTTTATGTTACGAAACTTTCCTGTGTATGACTTGATGTATGGAGTTGATGTTTGTGACTTGACTTATTGAATAGTTGATCTCTGAAGAGACTGATTTTTTACTGCCATAAAAAACTAATGTCTTTACTAGCTTCCTTTCATTCCTACTATTGCCTTCTGAACTGTAGACCTCAAATGCTTGGGCATTCTTGATGTCTTTTGCATTAATCCAAAATTAGGCATGACATCTGATTAGTCTGAGCTTTGGATGCAGAATCAGATTGCCAGGCACAGTCCGTGCCAGTCAGTATGTGGTGTACACCTCCCTCTCCCACTACTGGATATAGGGAAGGGTATAACACAGGTTTGGTTCACCTCAGCTGAAGAAGCAATTAGGAACTCCTCATGCTTCTTGCATGAGTACAGAAGTCAGAATGTAACACAGCACTTTGCATTCCACCACCCCCTCACTCTCTCCCTCCATGCTTCCACCCATTCAGTGTTTAGTATAAGGGAACCTGAAATCCAGGACCGAGGCAGGAATCTCCTATTTGTGTTGCCATTGCAGAAGTTGGGAATTTTGCCATGTACTTTTGTGGTGCAGTCACGGAATACGTTATGAGTAAAAAAAGGCAGCAAGACTCTGCTTGTCACTGAGTGTAGAAGGTAACTGTGTCAAATCTGAAAATAACAGAAGTATCTTTGATTAGCAGGGCTGAGGGAGCAGAATCACAGCGTGGTTGAGTTTGGCAGGTACCTCTGGAGGTCATCTCTTGTCCAGCCCCCCTTAAGCAGGGCCACAGGGAGCTGGCTGCCCTGGACAGTGTCTAGATGGCTTTTGAATATCTACATGGAGGGAAACTCCCCAACCTCCCTGTGCAGCTTATGCCAGTGCTTGGTCACCCTCACATTAAAAAACTGTTTCCTGCTGTTCGTAGGGAACCTCCTGTGTTTCGTTGTGTACCAGTTGCCTCTGCTCCTGTCACTGGGCGCCACTGAACAGAGCCTGTCTCTGGCCTCTTTGCACCTTCCCTTCAGATATTTGCACACACTGATGAGGTCCCCCATGAGCTTTGTGTTCTCCGGGCTAAACAGTCCCATCTCTCTCAACCTCTCCTCATGGGAGAGGTGCCCCTCCCTTGATCATCTTTGTGGCCCTTTGTTGAACTCTCTCGTAGATGTCCATGTCTCTGTGGTACTGAGGAGCCCAGAAGTGGACCCAGCACTCCAGATGCAGCCTCAACAGTGCAGAGGAGAAGGAAAGGATCACTCACCTCTGGCAACTTTGTCTAATGCAGGCCCTAATTAGTTTAATTAGCCACCTTTGCTAAAAGTTTGATTTGCTCTTAAAAATAAGAGCAGTTGTAATATATGGAAATAGTTTTAATACGAAAGGTGAGGGTACAAGTGAATGAAATAAAGAATACTGATGGTGAGGTGAGGTGGAGGAATTTCCTAGTTGACTAATACAGTTTGTCAAAACTCCATGTTTGGGAGTGACCTGTGAATAGCTTTTGTGTGTCACAATGCAGAACAAGTCTTGTTTTGGACTGGTTTTAGTAATTGTTTGGTTGTAATACAGACTTCCTGTGTCTTGCAACTGAGTTCCAGTGCAGTACACTGTTGTAAGAAATTGCAGATTTAGTTGAGAGATGACACCAGAATCTTGTCCAGCTGCTGTCACTGAAGGTTCTGATCAGCTAAGTGTGCAAAAGCAGCCGAACTAGGAAACAGCAGTGTAAACTTGTACCAGTACCTGGGGGGGCCCTCCAAGAAAGCTGGAGAAGGACTTTTTCCAAGGACATGTCGTAAAAGAACAAGAGGTGTAATGGCTTTGAACTGAAAGAAGGTAGATTTAAATTAGATATTAGGAAGAAATTCTTTATGGAGAGGGTAGTGAGACACTGGAACAGGTTGCCCAGAGAAGCTGTGAATGCCCCTGAACATTCCTGAAGTGTGGTAGGCCAAGTTGGATGGGGCTTTGAGCAGTCTGGTCTAGTGGAAGATGTCCCTGCCCATGGCAGGGGGCTTGGAACTACATGATCTTTAAGGTCCCTTCCAATCCAAACCATTCTATGATTCCTTGAAACTGTTACGATTTTCTTTTTAATCAGAATTTTCTGTAACGTGTTTCTTGAATGCACATTGATCATGTACTGCATAGTAGAAAACTGAGCAACACTTAGGTGTGAGTGAAGCCTGAATTAACTGGAATCTGATCTCAGTTTGTAATTTTAGAAAAACAAAAAATCGATTCCCCCAGGGCCTCCACTTCAATTTGAAATGATATATGATTTGAAAATAAACACAAAGATTGTGTCTTTCATTTAATTTGGAACTTGCTTGTGGAACTGACAGAAAAAGAGCAAACCAATTCTTTCTGTACTTCTGAGTGTTTATTCTTTCCTTTCTGGAAAGGGAAGGCAGATAATATGAGTGCTGGTTTGGTATACTTGATGCACAGTTTGGTAGTGGATCAAGACAGCAGTCCAAGCATTCGAGTATAACAATAAATAACCATTGCACATTCCTCCTTTTTATGAATCAGTTTCACACACCCCTGAAGAAATACAGGGCTGCTTGTGTGTAGTTTGCATGACTACACAATCATGCAGTTCAAATCATAATACAGGTTTTGATAAGCCTGTAGTGATGGCAGCAGTCCTAGAAAGAGCTAATGACAGTCCCTAAGTTATCTTGTGTAGTAGTAGTGAGAGTAAATAATGCCTATATTTCTTCATATTTTAATATCTGTAAATGTCTTCAGGTTGTATATAGAATTGGAGTCACTGTTCAGTTGGAAAGTGTTAGCCACCCAGCACATAAATTTTGGAAAATAACACCTCAAAAATGGATTTTTTTCCCACTGATACCATTGTGAAGTCCTCACCATAGAATTGCAAAGGTAGACTCAGGCTTGGAGAAATGCATATTTAACACCTAAAAGTAAGAACAAATATTGGTGTTAGTGTTAAGTAGAGTCTGTGGATGTTAAAGGTCTCTCATGGGCAGTGAATTAATATACTATTGAAAAAGAATGGTTTCAGCTAACCTGTCGGGGGCTTGAATTTATTGATCTAACCCCCCCAAGAATTTCCTATGGTAAAGTGTGACCAGTTCTGCTCCTTGCTCCTTGGTACATGATTTGAGACCCATCAAGAAGAAAGGTGTAAAATGTTATAACTATGACGTTTATTTTAGGAAACCAGGTTTAACCTTAACAGTTACATTTGAATACGAATTTTTTTAAGCTTTAATTCCTTCTTAAAGCCATATATTGTATAGTAATAGACACTCAAGTTTAAAGTGACTGGCATAACTTCCAAGAGGAGGGGGTGGTTTTGGAGAATTAATAAGATGCAAAAAATTCACAATTATGTACTTAATTTTCAGGTCGATTCAGGTTGTTTCTTTCAAGTAAGGAAGAGTCACATCCCTAAAACTGGTTCTTATTTTTCTTTTTTAGCACTGTCTGTGAACATTTTATAGCACTTGAAGTTGTCAATTGTAATATAAATATTTTTTGCTGTTCAAAACTTCATAGTATATGGTTGTAAATAAATGGACAGGTTGAATACAGTCTTCATGTTTGTATCCATCCAGAGACATACAATATCATTACAAATAGTGTACTCAGAACTGATTTTATGCGTGTTATGAGAGCTGCTCGTGTGATGAGAATGCCTTCTGACAAACTGACATGTTTTGATAACTGCTGAGGTAGTTGTACAGACTTTTTTAATTAAGCAAGAATTGCGAGTGCTGTGTTCTGCAGAAGGATAATCCCAATATCAAAGTTTAAATGTTAGTTTAGGCATTACTAAACATGACCAATCTCTTCTCTCCTGCATTTTTTGAAGTGTGATGTGAGTTGGATGCTGAGGCTGGGCAGCTGTATTATGGGAATGTAAAGTAACTCGTTGCCTGGCAGCTCACGGAAAACATGTCTAAATATTTGTTTCTGTGGATCTTTAAAGGAATGAGCTAACAAGCAGCTCTCTGTATATTTTCTTTTACATTTTAATGTGTCTATTATGTGAGAAATGCTTAATTCTTTTAGAATAGTAAAACAAAGACTTCCTATTTTAGTACTCCTTTGTTTTTTCTTGGACACTGAGAGGTTGACAGCTATCAACACCAAAGCCACTTGTTAATATCAGTTGTTCCTATATGTAGGATTATTTATTCATTAATACAAAACTTTATTTGGTTAATCCTATACTAATTATGAAAAATTGGCATCTCTATTTTGAGACCTTAAGAAATAATTACTGTAATTACTCCTTTATATTTTTACAATATTTATGGGACTGTTCTAAAGGAACTAGTGAACCATTTTGAGTTATTCCATATTTTAAATCTTAAACACCATGCCATATTTTTCTGAAGGTTTTTGTATTTGCTTTCATGCTTCCTTCATGTGTTTGTATTTGTATATGATATAGCTGTGTATCTGTCTGTATATATGTGTAACTTTGCACAGCAGTGTCAAAAGTCTGGTTTTGTAGCATTTTTCCTTTAAACCAAAGAACACTTACGTGTTAATTAAATTTGATTGCTGTCCTTTAAGTGTCCTGAAGTTAGAAATATGTAAAGATGGCTTTGTTGAGTGAAATAAAGCATATTATTAAAATCCACAGCAGTGTAGAGCCAGAAATCTGTTACAGAAAGAGTAGACACAGAGAGGTAAGAATGCACAGCAAGTCGCTGATGCTCAGTGTATCAGTTAGATGGAGGTATAAAAAAAGCTTAAGTGCTGTTTTGTGTCATATGTCTATTGAATTTGATGGGATTTGACTGTGTGCTGAAAGTTAAGTTTTTACCTGTTTTACGGATGGGTCTAAGCTTTGTGTACTCACTATTAACCATATACTCAGGTTGTAGTTTGGCTTTGTATGTGTCAGGAGCTTTACAAAATCCTTGCGCTTGACCAAATTATATTATGTGTTTATGTAGCTATTACAGTGCTTAAAAAAAAAGATAGCTTTGACTGCAGCTACGTTTTTCAAAGGTGATGATGAGGTGTTAATAGTAAATGAAATTATTTTACAGGATACTAAATTTTACCAGTGTGTAAATCTTCCTTTAGTGCCTTGCAGCCGAGTTGGCCGTCTTTGCTGCCCTCTAGTGTTCTTTTTAATGCCAAACTTAGGGTGAGAGATTTTAAAGGCAAATTACTGCCATATTTTCTTCTCTTGTTTAGTTTTTTCTTTATCAACCCTTATCCGTTTTTTCCTATCAGTGTTAAAAATGCAACAGAAAAATCCATTAATCTTTATCACCTCAGCTTATTCACTTCTATCATGATGTAGACTTGGGTATGATGTGCAAGGCCAATTTCTCTGAGAAAACTTCTGTGTGATGATGGGATCTTTTGTTTTACGAACATATTGTTAAGTCTTGAGTGTGGTTTCTGCTGAAGTCTTTCTGAGTTTTATATTCTGATAATCAAATCTCCATGATTGCATTTTTATGCTTCAAAGGTTGGTTTTGTTAATTATAACTTTTATTTTTGGTAAATAAGAAGATCCAGAGAGTTAGTCCTATAGAGTTCCAGGATACTGGAGTGTTTTGCTTGTGCTTTACATTATGATGTTGTTCAAAATTTCTGTAGTTTCTTGTAATTTCTGTACCATTTCAAGAGATTTTAGAGTCCTTGCTCATGCACACCTTCTGTTGCTGTATAGTGGTGTAACAGAAACCCTCCCAAATACAAGCTTGGTGCTTATTACTTGTACACAGGAGAACAGCAGGCAGTTTAATTCCAGAGCTAGCTGTTTTTATTGTTTGATTCTTGGATCTGTTTTCATAAACAATGTGAGAACACGACATTTCATCTTTAATACCTTATTTTTTTTTCTCGTTAAAATCAATATTATGTTTGTTTTTATTTAATCAGGGAGTTTACCTTCTTTTAACAACAGATCAGAAGTTCTACTTCAATATTTATGAACTGTAAAGCATGAGTCAGAATTTGTATGAAGGAATCACTTTCATCTCTCATATAAATATGCACTTCCATAACTTGGATCCACTGGATATTTTTATAAAGTTACTTTTTCAGATCCAGTATAATCTATTGCCATATTAGCTAAATGTCATATTTGTGAGAAATACTGGAAGGACATATATGGGAAAACTCTGTACTAAGCCACAAAATTAATTATTCTGGGACATGCCCAGGACACAGAAAAGTTTTATGTTGTTCTGTCTCTGTACATCATTCCTGAATTAGGGAAAACACCATTCATCAAAGTTGTTGTGTTCTTCCCTCCTTGGAACAACTGTTCTGTTAGTACTGAGGAGGCCTTTTGTGATCCTTAGTCTTCTAGGTACTAAGAGATAACTGTTCTCTATGCTGAGAGACAAGAGTAAGGTAAAGGCTTTTGACACTCTTAGACTGGAAAATAAATGCTATTCTTTGGAACAAGTCCAGATACTTGGTTTGACTGAAGAAATAAAAGATCAATTTTTTTAAAATGAAGCAGAAGTTATGAAAATGGTCACTTAGGACTCCATTCCATACTAGTTCATATTGTTAGCCATTGCTTCCCTCCCTCCTAACTTCTGAAATAAAACTTTTGAGCTTCAGGAAAATGTTTGCTTAATTTCTGATTTCAGTTTAGGTAAGTTCAGGATCATATGCAGTGCAAATGTATATTAATATTAGACAAGCAAATCTGCAAATCAAGTGTAATTGCCTTAAAATCTACCTTAAACTCAGAGATTTGCCTGCCTGTATGTTAGAGATGCCACGATTTTAGTGTTTAGTACAAGAACAGCAGCATATAGTGTGTCGGTTTTGCATTGTTTTGCAGTACAGAAAGAAGCACTTGGGAACAGTAGCTGAACTGTTCCAGCATTTTTAAAATGCAGCGCAAAACCACTTTGTTTTCTGAGTACTCTTTTTAGAAGGGAAAAATATAGTTCATAGAAAACACGGATTAACAAGAACATTTGGTGCAGGGAAGTAGAGAAACTTAAGGTTACCACCAGGAGGAGCAGTACCAAAATATTCTCAGTTTTTTAACCGGTACAGCTGGCAAGTGCTGTAGCTGTAAGCTAACTGTATCTTTGGGGGTATCGTAATTTTTTTAAGGATAGGGTACTAAATAGAATGCAACTAAAAAACCCTCAGAAAGAATGCAAATGAAGAACGTCAAGATTTTAACAAATTATAGTCTGGAAAATTATGAGTCTTTTGACATTTGGAATTTTAATCACAGATGTAGGTCTGTATCCTGTTTTCATCATGGTATGCTGTTTGCCAAATTTTCTGAACCAAAATTAAATCTATTTTTATGTCTCTTAGTTGAGATGTAATAGAATTATTTTCAGGAGCTGGTGTATTAGTATTACGACTCTCTACAATTCACTGTCTCTGCTTAGATCAGCTCTTAATAAAACAGGTACTCTGTCAATGGAGCTGCTTGTGTTCATGTGCCTATATGAGAGGCAAGTTGTCTGCTGCGTCAGGGAATAAGGAGAAAGGAAAGGAAGGAGTTCAGTGAGAAATAGGAAGTGCCAGACCTTGCAGACATTTGAGTCTTGGGTTTATTTTTTCTGTCTCCCCCAACCCATGGCCTTATAAGTCTCTTCATAGTTAAAAATTTAAAATCTATAAAGCAACCCAAAGATGTAAGAAAAAGGGCAACTTTTCCAACCTAAACAATTCTATGATTCTATGTAGCATCAAGCATGTTATTTGTAATGGGCAAATTAAAAAACCCCACAGTGTTATCCAGTAGTCTTTCAAGTATGTAATGAAAATATTTTGCTAAGCAGGGGTAAAGTTTGTTTGAAAGGGAACTCGAAGTTTTGACACAATAGAGGAAATGCATGCCTATAGGATTATAAAACTGGTGAAAGTAGCATTTGTATTTAAAATGTAACAATTTGACATAGATTAATTTTGACATAGAGTAACAGTGATGTGTGCTATTTCTTACATGTAATCAACAAAGGAGAATGTCTAATTTTTTTTTTCCTTGAGTAATAGATCTTACTCATATAGAAACAGTCACAGTCCATCACATTACTCCTGAAATGCTGTGATGTGTGTATAAGCTAAATCTGAGTTTGGAAAGCAGTGGGATTTTCCATTAGTGTTTTCAAAACATGAATTTTATGTTTTGTTAACTGTATTGTCATAAGTTCCCTTTCACATTCCTGACCTATTACTGTTACCAAGTCAAGATGCTACCGTGTGTCTTCATGGTATTATCTTCCCCACCCACTTAGTGGGTAAGTATGTGCTGGATGGGTATTTTTATACATAGTATTAACAATTTATTTACTCAGTCTTGTAACGAAGGTTTTAAAAGGGAACTGAATACTTGAAGTGGATTTTTCTCTTTTCTGAGGGGGACTTTGGAAACTGCTGGAGGATTGTTTAATCTCTAAACTGAATAAGATCTTGTCATCTGGCCACTGTATGTAATGTTGGATGCTGGGCACGATGCTTGGTTAAGGGTGGTCAGCACAAATCGCTTTCTATAAATTGTAGTACTGATTTTTGGAACCCAGAGAGGTAAAATGGGCCATGAAAATCACAGAGATACTTAGAACTGGATGCTGATACAAAGTGGGCCACGTTATACTCACCCTGCCATGCATCTGTAAGAAAGTTTTTAGTTTTCCTTTATTTTTTTTTAATTATTTTTTTTTGTAATTTGCTTTAACGCTTTAAACCTGGAAGTCTAGCAGTACAACTAGGTCACATAAAGATATAAAACTAACCAATAAGGATCTAAGTGATTGCACGTTAACTTCTGTGTTTTAAATGATCTTCTGCATTCTGGCAAATGTTTCTCCATAGGATGAAGATGAGTTGGACTCTCACACCATGGTAAAGACCAACTCAGAGAGCGCTGGTACCATGAGAGCCACAAGTACGATGAGTGAAGGCGCCCAGACAATGATTGAGCACAACAGCACTATGCTGGAATCGGACCTGGGGACCATGGTAATAAATAGCGATGATGATGAAGAGGAAGATGGGACCATGAAACGTATGTTGTCAATTTACTTTCTTCTAATAATGTAATATGTTTTCCTCGTGCTGCACAACAGTGTTGTATCATCAGTGGCTTTTTAGTGTCAAGTTCTGTGGTTAAAACGGGGAGAGGGGTATTTGTGTCTCTAAGCACTCTCTATAGTTTGTGGATAAAAAGGTGATTATAGTAGGAAATTCAAAACAGAAGGCTGGTTTTGCTGCTTTGCTGCTTTCTCTGGAGGACTATCAAATTGGCCTTGTGTGAATTGTCCCTTTTACTGCTTGTGTCTTGCGTTTTGTCTCTGGTCCCCCATTTGGACCAGTTCCTTGGAGCTGAACTGATGTGATTGAGAGGCTGCTGTTTCAATGTCAGTAGTCCTGGGAACACATTGTGACTCTCCATGGGGTTATCAATCAGGAATATATCTTGCTGCAGAATTGCTTTGTAAGTCATGATCAATTAGCAGATTTGTATTTTATAAGTGACTTATTATTCAGACATTTGTTGAAATGTAATTCAGTAATGCTTGATTTAAGTCAATGATCGAAAGATTGTTGAAACCTACATACAAAGTTCTAATTGACTTGATGGCCTGAGGGAGTATGTAACAGAGAAAAAAAAATTGTGAATGTTTTTATGTCTAAAATTATAACTTACACTGAAATATTCATAAATACAAATTTTTAAATACTTAACTTACATACTTATATACTGATGTGGTCATTGTTTGGCTGAGGACTACAGCAGATTGAGGCCCACTGAATTTATTAGAATTATTTACTTGAGTGGGCAGCATCAATAGATGAATCTAACTCCAGGCTGTAGCTGCCTGAATTCATGAAGCACAGAAAGGTCTAATGTTTAACTCCAGGCTATTGTTTGGGGGTGGGGAGTTGTGTTTGTGCCTGTAATATAGAAAGCTAATGTCTCAAGAGTGAAAATCAGTGCCAAATAAAGAACTTTGTAGAATGTTTCATAGCAAACATAAAGCTGCATTTGTGTTTGCGTATTGACACCTGATGTGATTTGTGCAAGGTTAGTTGGAAGTACAAAGCAGGATTTTATTTTGTTTCAGTGTTCAGTGAGTTTGAAAGAAAAAGGTGTTTTGTTGATTTTATTTGTTTAGCTTTTATGTGGTTTTGTTTTGGGTTTTCTTTTGTTTTTCCTTTAGTGTTCTCAGCAATAAGATAGCACAAATGCCTCTTGATTAGTGGCTAGTTTAAGTGTGATGATTCACCTCATGAAAAGACTCAGTATGTGCTGTAGTTTGTTTTCATGCTGAAACAGAATATATGCCTGTTAGACCTTGTGTCTAATTGGAGGGGTCATTACAAGTGATCTCAAACCCATCGTTTCAACAAGCTAAGGGAAAGATGAGTGATTAAAAAAAAAAAAAGGGAGTTATAGTACCAACAAATTTGGAGTAAAGGAATTCTTAGGGTGGAAGTATCATGAATTAAGGGGTTTAGTACAGTTTCTGTGCTGCCTGATAAATCACTTCAGGCTTCATAAGTAAGTTCTCTATAAGTAGTGTACCAAATTGCACAACACTATTCATGTAGTATTTATATATGCTGAGAGAAAATACTGCCACTGTACCAAACAGATCAAAAAAGTATCATTAGGTTTGCACTACAATCTCTTATCTGTGTCCTACTTGTCTGCTATGTTGCTGGAGACATTGCTTTTAAACTGCACTGTTATTTTCAGTTTTCAATTGATTCCACTAACAATCTGTAACTAGAAAGGGAATTACCTTTGTACACCTTGATATTTGGCCAATATATTTCTTAATCCCGTTCTTTCTTGTCAAACAAGAATATATAATCTTTGGGACAGTGGGTTTTCTTCCCTTCCCTTCTCTCCCATAGATGAGTGTCTAGAGCCCCATAACTCCAGCAAAGCAAAGCCAGCAAACTGGAGGTAGCCTGATGGGAAGTGATGGTTTCATCATTCAGCTGTCAGGCAGCAGGTTTGGTTTCAGCACTTACTTGCTAGAAGTTCTTGTATTTTGCATTAAGCACCCCTTATTTGCATTTTTTTTACATTAAAAACTAGAAATAATTCAAGAACAGGACCTTCACATCTCTCAGCTAAAATTAAATACAAATCATGTCCACCATAGCTGGTCCTTTGGTTCTGTGATTGTTGTGCTATTGGCTGAAACAGGAGCAATAACAAGGGTCCTAAATAAATGTTAGTAGGAAGGGACATAAAAATCTTTGCTGTCTCTGAGAGGCAGACACAGATTTTTGCTTCTTTATACTTGACAAAGACTTTGGAGATTGTTTGCTTTTTCCAGTATACCTTTATAGTAAAAGTAGGCACTTTCTAGATGTTTGTGTGGTTTGATTATAATAAATCAGAACAAGTAGCTTAAAAGTGGTCTTTGATACTTCTGAATAATAGAACGTTGCAAGCAAGAAGCTTGGAGAAATAAACTTAGTAAACTAGGGAAGAGGGATTTCATTTCCTTCCTAGAGACACAAAATATTTGTGACAAACTTTTTATTTAATTGCTGTTGTGTTTAGTTTCATGTTTTGTTTCCTTCTGCCTTTTGTTTCCCCGCTCAAGGACAAAATAAGAAACAATAATATGTTTTTATTTATAAGTACCCATGCTTAGAGGCCTCTGGGAGCCATGACAGAAAATAACTAAAACCATATTTTTTTCACAAATGGGAAATTGTGCCCAGATAAAATTGGGATTTGGAACAAAAAGAGGCCTATCATCCTATCCCAGCATACATTATACAGTCTACCAATAAAAAAACATTTATGCCATCTTGCTCAGTATGCCCTGTCCATGCTCTCAACAGAGACCTTGGTGTGTACCTGGAAGGAGGGAAGAAAATGCAGAACACGGAGAGACGGAAGGATAGAACTTAATTTTAGGAGGTTTAATGTGGAGTAGAAGGAAGAGTGAGAAAGATGGAAGTATTACTTCTTTTGTTCAGTTGCCTGGGTTGTACTTACTTTTGTGTAGAAGCTTTTTCATATGTCAGTGCAGGGACCAGTGTTCAGACCAGCTTTCCCACATTCCCTTTGTGGTTTTTTGGCAAGGCTTAGTGTTAGGGCTTTCTGGTGCACCAAGAGTACTTCCGATTGTTCGCTTTTCTCCTTTGCGGTAACATTTCCCCTGCTTCTCTTTTTTTCCTGTTAAAGTTATATTTGCCATCTGCTTTGGGCTGGAAAGCAAGTTGTCTCTTAGTGCCATTTCGATTTATTCTGGGTTTCTAACTGTTGCTTCAGATTCAGTGAAGCTTCTAAATAGTTTATAGCTGGTAATGAATACATTAAAAAAAGAGGACAGTGAACTAAATGAGGTGTCATTTGACAGCTAGAGTATAGAAAAGTGCTCAGGTTTTTGTTTTGTTACTTTTTTCTCTGTGAGATGTGAATGTTTTAGGTTTAGTGAGCATAAGTCTCAAACACATTTTCCTTCTTATCAAACACAAGAATATAACCTTTGGGACAGCAGGTTTCTGTCCTCTCTCTCATCCTCCATAGGTGACTGTCTTGAGCCCCATAACTCCAGCAAAGTAAAACCAGCAAACTGGAGGTAGTTTGAGGAGAAGTGATGGTTTCATCATTCAGCTGTCAGGCAACAGGTTTGGTTCCAGCACTTAATTTGGGGAACTTTCTTGCCTTATTGTATAATGGTATTTTTGATTAGCGTGGGATAGGCACCATACTGTAGAACCTACATGTTGATAGAAAAATTAATGAGTTGGTTTATTCATTTTTTTTAAGTGATTTCAGCATCGGTAAGGGATTATGTGATGCTGCAAGTCAGTCTGCTCTGTGAGGTGAGGTGGATGCTTAGATAGCTCTGGAGTAATGCTTCAAAACTCTTAGAAAGGCCTAAGTCCTACAGCTCTCTTTACAACTGAAAAGCAAAAGCTAGTGATGTGTGTTTTATGACAACCTAGGACCTAAGTCCAGTAGGAATTCAGCAGGGAAATTTAATTATGGGCTGGTTTTAGTGGGGCTGTAGCCTGGACGTTGATATTGCATTGATGTAGTTTTGTTCAAGCATTTTTACTATACCCACAGTCAAATGGTTTGCTTGATGCCATATGGAGGGATCCTAATGCTTTACTCCTCTATATGTGTATGTAAAGAGATGATAGATGTTTTTCACTCCTCAGACCTTCTCCTGTGATGGTAATAAAGCTGTTAATTTATACTGCTACTAGTAGTATATTTTAAAAATGGGATTTTTTTTTTTTTTTAAATAGTGATGTTAACAATTCTGCTTTCAGAGCTGTTTCAAAATGCTAGTTTAACATGGATTGTCTTTGTTTTGCTGAAAGCAGAAATAAAGTATAACTCATCTGGAATAGACTAATGGGTTTATAATAGTAATGTCATTGAACATTTTTTTTCTTTTCTCCGGAAGTTGGAAAAATGGAACAAAAGTTATTAAACCAGTTTTACTAGTATTATTCTCAAGAAGCAAAGCAATGTTTTGTGCCGGAAACTTTTCCCCATGAAAAATTGTTTAAACTTGAGTTCACAGTCTTTCAAAAGTCTCTGAAGGCTTCAGCTGGTTGAATGTGGATTTTCTGTTTAAATGCCAGTTGCAGTTATTTCTGATAAATAGGTATATTATAAAACAAACAAACCAAAGGCTGAATGAAGCCTGAAATTACATGAAGACTCAGGTGTATGAGTCACTGTGATATGAAAGCTGTGAACTCAGTAGTCACTTTGTTACACAGCTCTCTGTAGTCAAACATTTCTTAGATCCATCCTTTGATAGATTCCCAACTGCTCTGGCCTAAGGAATTGAGGTTCCAGTTTCTGCTGATGATTCCTTGTGGTTCTGAGTAAGCTGACCTCTAATTCTCTGAGGTTATTGTCTAATAGGCATGTGTTAGCAGTAGAACTTGCCCACTCATAAAATATAGTCAAAATTTTCTGCTTAAAATTTGGCTGAAGGAGGTGGCTGTGGCAGCTTTTAGATGGTAATTCACTGTTAAGTGCGTTTGGCTGGAGATTGAGGTCAAAAT